GTTTGCATTACGTTAGGTTATGTTATCGTTAAGTTATATTGGCAACAAGACAATAAGCCAACCTGAAGTATTATAAATTTGTTCTATTAAACACAAAATAAAGTGTATCATTAACTCCTTAAGTAATCACAAAACACAAACATATCCCACGAACGGATAAACACAACCAACGCATCAGTCAAATCAGAAAGGACAGACAAGATTAAATTTGATATTGTGGCAGCATTAACCCGACCTGTCTGTCTCTCCAGGTTTCTGATAAGGTGTCCAGGTGTCTGATAAGGTGTCCAGGTGTCTGATAAGGAGTCAGAGTTAGTATTAGCCTCGTGTGAGTCACCTGAGTCACCATTCTGCCTCTGATTAATTACCTGACCTGTACTGATGAGTTCCTGATTACGTGTCATTAGGTTAGGTTCTTTAATCAATCCGATATTTTCACAAAGTGGCCATCACCTGCTGATTAACTTTACATCACCTTCCTGTTGTTGTTGCTGTTTGTTTGTTTGTTGTTTTTGTTTGGTTTTGTTATTTGTTGTTATTGTTTTTCATATTATTATTATTATTATTATTATTGTTGTTGTTGTTGTTGTTGTTGTTATTTTTATTATTATTATTATTATTATTATTCCCAACACCTTTTCATTACACGTTTAAAGACTCGTATGTATATTCAAGTGAGTATAAGGTATGTATGTAGGTATACCTGTATCTTCATATGTATACGGTGTATGTATATGTGGGTCACCTTCAGCATAAAATCCTCAGATAATACTGTAAAAAATATTCCTGCGTCTCTTGTGGTATAAATTTAACATAAACCGTTATATCAAGAACGTCTACCTGTCTCCCTCTTAGCCTCTGTAGAATGGGTGTGGTGGGTGGGCTGGTAGACGGAAGTGGTGGGTGGGTTGACGGAGTGGGTGGGACAGGGGTGGGTGGCAGACGGAGGTGGGTGGGTTGACGGAAGTGGTGGGGGTTTGACAGTGGTGGTGGGTAGACGGGAGGGTGGGTGGGTTGACAGGAATGGTGGGTGGGTTGACGAAGTGGTGGGTGGGTTGACAGAGTGGTGGTGGGTAGGCGGAAGTGGTGGGTTGGTAGACTTGAAGTGGTGGGTGGGTTGAGGGGTGGTGGTGGGTTGTGGAGTGGTGGGTGGGTTGACGGGGAGGGTGGGTGGGTTGACTGAAGTGGTGGGTGGTGACGGAAGTGGTGGGTGGGTTGACGGGAGTAGGGTGGAAAGTGGAAGTGGTAGGCAGAGAAGTGGTGGTGGGTGAGAGTGGTGGGTGGGTTGACGGAAGTGGTGGGTGGCAGAACGGAATGTGGGTGGGTTGACAGGAAGTGGTGGTGGGTAGACGGAAGTAATGGGTTCGTTGACGGTGGTTGATTGAGGGCGTGATGGAAGTGGTGTGTTATTGACGGGCGTAGGAGCGTGGTGGGTTAATAGACGGGCGTAGTGGGCGTGGTGGGTTAATAGACGGGCGTAGTGGGCGCGTGGTGGGTTAATAGACGGGCGTAGTGGAGCGTGGTGGGTTAATAGACGGGCGTAGTGGGGCGTGGTGGATTGGTAGACGGGCGTGATGGGGCGTGGTGGGTTGGTAGACGGATGTAGTGGGGTGTGGTGGGCTAATAATCGGGCGTAGTGGGGCGTGGTGGGCAAATAATCAGGCGGGCACAGGTGGGCAGGTAATGGTATCCAGTACTTAGGTAGGCGGGCGTTCATAGTCGAGTTCACAGCGCTGCACTGGGCGGGCAGGCGGGCGGATGGACGTGCGGGCGGGCGGGCGGGTGGTTGGGTAGGTGGGTGAGTGGGCGGCTCTGCATCTGGTGGTCGCCAGCTCAGGGGCCAACTCCTTCGCCCACGCATCACTTATCACTAACTTGGTTCAACTCTCATTAGCATCATCGTGTGACCCTCGAGAATCACGACCTCCTCCTCCACTTAACCCAAATATCCTTCAAAAATATCCAATGATTTTTTTTTTTCGTTTTCGTCTTGATTTTTGTTGTTGTCGTTTTTGTCTTGGACCCCAAATGTGTTTTTTTCGCTGTTAAGAATTTTGTTTTATTTTGTATTTGTCATTAAAAAAATAAAGGTGTCTGGTAGATAAATAAATAGGGGTTTGTTGATGTTTCAGGGTTTAGTGTTATGTATGTATGTATGTATGTATGTATGTATGTATGTATCTAATATATATGCATATATGTGTGTGTCTCAGGTAAGAAAGTGGTGTAGAGTAATAATGTTAAGTGAGGTGGCAGGTGAGGTGACGGCGATACCCTGCCTGTGTCCTATGCATGTTTCCACGCCTTCTCTCCCTCCCTCCCTCTCTTTCCCTCACTCTCACCTCTCCACTAACTCGAATATGAGAGTCTCTAAGCCTCAAGATGAATGAGACTCCAGGGGCGTTACTATAGCTTGGAATTTCATATACAAAACGCTCAAACGACGTAATGTAAACTTTAAAAAGAGGTATTTACACTTAAAACGTCAAATTTTGTCTTT